ACACATCACACTGTGAGTCTCTGTGATTGACACTGAACCCTGTGGGAGCCTCAGTCTGGCTCTGTGAGTCTCAGTGATTAACACTGAACCCTGTGGGAGCCTCAGTCTGGCTCTGTGAGTCTCAGTGATTAACACTGAACCCTGTGGGAGCCTCAGTCTGGCTCTGTGAGTCTCAGTGATTAACACTGAACCCTGTGGGAGCCTCAGTCTGGCTCTGTGAGTCTCAGTGATTAACACTGAACCCTGTGGGAGCCTCAGTCTGGCTCTGTGAGTCTCAGTGATTAACACTGAACCCTGTGGGAGCCTCAGTCTGGCTCTGTGAGTCTCAGTGATTAACACTGAACCCTGTGGGAGCCTCAGTCTGGCTCTGTGAGTCTCAGTGATTAACACTGAACCCTGTGGGAGCCTCAGTCTGGCTCTGTGAGCCTCAGTGAGGCTCACAGAACCAGACTGTGAGCCTCACTGAGGCTCACAGTCTGGCTGGTGGGGGGGGTGTGGGGGTGGTGGTGCTAATTAAGCTGGGTGAGTGCACTGACAGTCTACAGTGTAGACTGTAGCCTGGTAATTAAGCTGGATGGGTGTACTGGCAGTCTGTAATGTAGACTGTAGCCTGGTTATTAAGCTGGGTGAGTGTACTGACCATAGAGCTCCGAGGGGAGGTCACCTGGCCGACCGGTTTTTATCCGAGAAACCCTTATCGGGATTAACTCTCACGGTTTCCGGCGATCAGGGAATTGGATGACCTCCCCCGTGCTACGTGGCACCGCGGCGCTGCGGCCGGCCTTAATATGGTGTGGTCGCGGCGTGGGGCATTCGGCCACCGCGGTTGAGGCGCATTTCCCCCCACACACGCCAGTATCGACGGGGCAAGCAGAGGGAATAAGCATTGTGATGGAGGAGCATCATTAGAAAACACGCAGCGCATCTGAACTGCATGATCAGGCACCCCCGCACAGGCAGCGGAGGGACGGCATAATTACGCTCGGGCACGCAGGCACCATTGTTAGGGGAGTTAAAGGATAAGGCTATTAGTATAAATAACCTGGAGAGCGGGGCCACGCGGGCAGCCGTGCACAAATTCCCACGGCGCACCTTTGTAATGGACGCCGCCGCATAATCTGCAATAACAAAGGCATGCGTGAGAAAGGAATTAACTTGCGGAACATCCGATTAGCATATCGAAGGCCCACGGTACGTGGGAAGGGGGTAGGGGCCTGAGTCCGGGGAATTAGGATAAAAGGGAGCGTAGCGAGGTAGAGCTCTCTCTTACTCCGAGAAGCCAGCGTCCAAGACGGCCCCCAGCTCTGCCCTCCGGACGTCCGTGCGACGTGTCGAGGCAAGCAGCGAGGAAAATCCACGGAATGTCGAGTGCCTCAAACCGTGAGTAAGGAGGTAAATGTATTTCGTGAACGATAGATAGGGAATAGGTACAGGTTTAGTGGAACAGGCCAGCCTCGTCGACTCACACTGATTTAACATCTAGTTCCAGGTAGCAAATAATAAATCATTAATAGCGAAGCGTGGCCTCGCGTGATCTTGTCGAGCAGTGTGAGCGTGTGGGTGCGCTGTGCGCACAGTGGTTCGCCACGTGAGTGAGCGCTGCGCGGAGCTGAGCGCGCGGGTGAGCGTGTGTACGCAGTGGTTCTGTAGTGTTGCGGCTCGCCTCGGGGGAGCGCTGCGCAGAGCGGTGCGAGAGTGGGTGTCGCGTGTGTTCACCCTGTGTGTGATACAGGTGCGCGATCATAACGCGAGTATTCAGTGGTGAGTGAGTGCCGCGGGGAGCTGTGTGCGTGAGTGCGCATACGTTCGTTACGTGTCGGATACGGATGCGCATTGGTAACGTGGTTATTCGACGTGGAGGCGAGTGCCGCACAGGGCTATAGACGGGCACACGCTCGCAGTGTGCGAGAGCTGTACGTAGCGGTGTAAAGAGGGGGAGTGTGGCGTTTGATTGATGATGCTGTGCGCACGTATGCTCGCAGCGTGGGAGCGCGGCGCGAGGCTGTAGCAGTAGGGGCGTCGCGTTCGAATGCCGGCAAAACCGTAGCGGGTAATGGGGAGGTGGGGTAACCTAAACGGAATAGGGGATGCAGGCGGGAGGGACCCCGGGGGCCAACGGCCCCCACACTTACGACTGTGCAAATCTTTCGGTCGTTTTTTTAACCCACTTCCCGTGATCCAATCGAGCTGACATTTTGCACACAGACTTGTTGTGCGTGACAATTTTTTTTCGTGAAATTTTTTTTCCTAAATTTTCCACTTTTTAGGAAAAAAAATTTTCATATTTAATTTAAAATACCAATGTGATAAAAATGAAACTCTTACTCAAGAAAAACAGAAATGAATAATAAAATAAAACCGATGCCACGCATATAAAGGATTTTACGGGTTAATTTTTTTTATACCTATGTGGCTTTAGCGAAAGAAACAGAGTATTTATCAGCATATTTGCATTGTTGTTACTTAGATGGAACTGTGTGCTTGTGTGTGTGTACGCAACCAGCAACACGGTTTACCCACAGCAAGGAATTGTTGAGGTGTTTTTCTTTCTATTACGTGCTTTTGAGTTATAAATAATGTATTTCCATGTTGTGTAACGTCAACTGATTTAAAGCTTTCGTGACTGCAGGGATTCATCTTATTGGTTCTTTCGGTAAAGTCATCACGTAGAAGGAAAATAATAAAAATAAAACATAATAAAATAATTACTTTATTTAAAATAAAATAATTACTTTATTTTATGTTTTATTTTTATTATTTTATTATTTTCCTTCTACGTGATGACTTTACCGAAAGAACCAAGCAGAAAATAATTATTTTTGTAATAAAATAATTTTTTTTTGTAATAATTTTTGTAATAATTATTTTTGTAATAAAATAATTATTTATTGTTTTATTTTTATTATTTTATTAAATCATTTATTATGCTTTATTTTGATTACTTTATTACTTCCCTTCTACGTGACTTTACCGAAAGAACCAAGAAGATGAATCCCTGCAGTCACGAAAGAAGCTTTAAATCGATTCATTTTTATTTGATCATACGAATTGCATCCACCAGTTGTGACCTCACACGTCAAATGTGGCAGCACGTGCAACTGTAATTGTTGTTGTATCTCATACACACGACACCGCACGAGCTATACACACCCACACGCACGGGGAAGAGAGAGGCAGCATTATTAGATGAGAGGAAGTGATAATCAAGTCTTTGTGTGAACCGACTTCCGAGATGAACATTTCCATTTGGAATCACACGACGCAGCACACAAATCATTCACGCTGACACTAATGATCATCGAGCAGGCCATGCCGAGTTTCTCCATCGCCAGAGTGAGTCGTGCCCGGGGGTGATATTCGCAGGGACCCACACAAATGTGATTATTCCCTTGAGATCAGAATTATGAATTTTCAGCAATTTTATTTTTATAAAAATCACTGTAATCAATGTTTTACATCATGGGATGATGTAATATGAGAGTGCAGGGATTCATATTCTTGGTTCTTTCGGTAAAGTCGCATAGAAGGGAAACAATTAAATAATATTATTTCCCTTCTACGTGACTTTACCGAAAGAACCAAGAATATCTTATAGCAAGTTCTGCACGCAATAAGTTTAGTGACATACCGCATCGGAATGCAAAGTTACAAATAAGATGTATTATCAAAGATACTAAGAGGTTTGCATTTACAATTCGTGATGTCTATTGCAAGTGGCTGGCATGAAAGCAACATTCATTACAAAAAATAAATTGCAAAAGAGAAAACTTTTAGCATTTCACTTATAACGTTTTAATCAACAAACAACAATTCAGCTGAACATGAAACATCGTTTTTTCGTTCAAACTTTAAAACCGATAGCAGAAAAAACGCTAAAAAATGTGACATTTGTAAAACACTACATGTCAAATTCGAAAAAGGTTCATTAGCTGGCATAGCGAAATTAATCAATAATAAATTCCCGCTTGTCATTCACGCAGCATATTTGCAAAAACGACATTTTTACATAAAGGACTTAACAAATACCTTGCTAATATATTCACCACGAACTAGACAGCGGAATGTCAACGTTGAAAGAAGAAAAGGGGCTTAACCAATTGCGGTGCCAAAATACCCATCCCCCCAATGCCTTGACAAACTGCGTTTGCAATCCGCGGTATTTCACCGATTGTCGTGAGGTCTGCAAGCGAGCGGCGATCGTTGGCAACGTAAAGTTGGGCCACGTCGCTGGATTCCAGTTAAAACCCTCCGCTTGGTGAAACTGGCTTAGAATATAGAGAAAGAGTTCCTCCTGGTGGCGCGAAATCATCATCTTTAAATCGCGGGCCTTGGACTGGGAATGGCACCAACTTGTTTGAACCACCTCTCTAGGCAAGACTTGTGCTCTACCTTGAACACACGTCCAAGGCAGAGCACATTGAGATGATTGCAACATGTAAAATATTAATCTTAAACATTAGTAGTAATTGCAGATGTTCTCAATCTGCAAGGTGGCAAATTCAGCTGTGTCGCTGCAGACAACGTTAAAGTCTCGGCTTCTGAATGCGTGCAAAATAAGACTTTTGTTGTTTAGGATGTGAAAATTGCTGATGAAATGACAACGTATGTTAAGCTTTGATGTTTACTGTACATTTGTAGACTTTATTAAACACCTAAAGAGCATACTAAACTATAGATCAAAACTAATGAAAGTCCCAGGCATATGTTCAGCGTATGGCTTATAAAAACGGGAACATCTTGATTGCTGTCACATACGGAGAAGCATCACAACAGCATCCTCGGTAGATTCTGAGATGACATTATTTCAGCAGAGCTGCGAAAGGCATTCATTGTTTGGTTGAAATCCAGGTGAAGCATTATCCAAAATAGGAATTGACCAAAACTTCTATTTCCAAATCAAGGCCAAATAGAAAGTCCCCAACAACCACAATGACTTTCATGACTATTTATTTGACAGTCCAAACAAGTGAATATGCCCCGTGCTCAAACTAATTGTGGATGTCTTATCCACGTGGGTGGTTTTACAGCAAGTGGTCAAATTGCTACACGTCTTTCAAAGGCCGGTGCCGACATGAAAAACGTTTGCCACCTTCACGTCATTAACAGCTCCAAACACGAAGTCAGAACGCTTCATAATGCCGGTTTATTAAATGCAAAAACTATATTGTGGAACAACACAGTGGCCCTGTGACCAGGGTGGGTTTGAAGTCCATTCAAGGAGACAGACCGGTAAACTCATCTGGGAAGAGACAAATCAACAATTGCAATGATCAAAGCAGCGCTTACATTATATCCATACAAGTGTGTTGGTTAGTATATAGAATGTAAATGTGAGATGAGTGGCATGTTGGTAAATGGTGCTTAGGACACAATAAATATCAAGTTAAATTTCGATTTAAAACTTTCGTGACTGCAGGGATTCATCTTCTTGGTTCTTTCGGTAAAGTCATCACGTAGAAGGGAAGTAATAAAATAATAAAAATAAAAATAATAAAATAATTCTCACGACGTTTCGGCCACAACGCAAGCAGCCGTCCTCAGGTGGAGAACAGGTCTGTCGGGGAGACAGCGTCTGAATGAAACAGCACACGATATATGCTCCAAGCTCGTGTGCTGTTTCATTCAGACGCTGTCTCCCCGACAGACCTGGTTTTCACCTGAGGACGGCTGCTTGCGTTGTGGCCGAAACGTCGTGAGAATTATTTTATGTTTTATTTTTATTATTTTATTATTTCCCTTCTACGTGATGACTTTACCGAAAGAACCAAGAAGATGAAATATCAAGTTAACTGAACAGCCACTGCTAGCACTGAGTGGGGTGAAAATGGGGGTGAGGATTATTAGGATCAACCGCCATCGATTTTAAATATCCCTGCAGTCCAAAATCTTTACTCAAACTACAGTGAATCACGCGAGCAGGGTCTTCATCATTCCCACGTTGACATGCACTTGCATAATGACGCGGCAGAGAGCGGATTGAACTTAGTGGCCTTACCTGATAACATTTAAAGTTTGATTCTAGATTGGAAGTTTTCGTGACTGCAAGGATCCATACTCTTTGGTTCTTTCGGTAAAGTGACGTGGGTAGAAAATAAAAATAATGATAAAATGTAAAATACAAATAAAATTAACTCAATTTTAGTTATTTTCATCTTTAAAATTTTAATAACTAAATTTTAGTTATTTTAATTTCACACTTAATTTTATTCTTATTTTCACCTACGTGACTTTACCGAAAGAACCAAAGAGTATTTAAAGTTTAGTATCGATTTTAGCAGCAGCCATAACACTCGTCAATTCACAAACTCGGAACTTAAGTAATCGCCAATCAACTGACTTTCACTGATTGCAGTTTGCTCTAATTGTATGCAAGCATCGCTGACTGTAACGAATGTTCCTTTTTTATTCCATTGTGTTAAATCACAAATGCGTAATGTATTTTAGTTGTAGACACTAATTGATACACTGATCGAGACATTTAAACCAATACACCGTTCAAAAGTAATGCAATGCTAAAACATGCATTTCGATTTAAAGCTTTCGTGACTGCAGGGATTCATCTTCTTGGTTCTGTCGGTAAAGTCATCACGTAGAAGGGAAATAATAAAATAATAAAAATAAAACATAATGAAATAATTCTCATGACGTTTCGGCCACAACGCAAGCAGCCGTCCTCAGGTGGAGAACAGGTCTGTCGAGAAGGCAGAGATTCTGAAGACGGCTGCTTGCGTTGTGGCCGAAACGTCGTGAGAATTATTTAATGTTTTATTTTTATTATTTTACTATTTCCCTTCTACGTGACTTTACCGAAAAAACCAAGAAGACGGATTGAACTTCTCACCACAATGCGTCGAGTTTACTGAAACCCATCTTTGCTTTGCATTTTGGAGAAGCCGTTACCGTGTTCTGGCGGAACTGCTGAAGGCTGCTGAAAGGCGGCTGCGATGGTCTTTGCGGAGACACTCTGGAAGTCGATGAGCAGATTGGTGTCTGCTACTCTGCGTCCCTGTTGAGGACACAAGGGAGAGACACATGGCTTTATTTTGGTGATTTCAAAAAGTGTACAGTATTGGTTTAGCCATGTTTGTTTGTTGTAGTACAGAGTTAGACTGATGGCCTTAATCTAAGTTGTCTTGTGGTTGTTGTTGTTGTTGTTTGACTTGCATCCCACTGGGATTTTTGCACACAGTGTCGGAGTACGGTGTATTTTCTGCAATATTTTGCTTTTGTTTCTTGGATTGCGTCCATAGGAAGAGTTTTTTGGGGGGTGAGATCGCATAAATATATCAATGTGTCGTTAAACCCGCCACCACCCCACACAGCCAACTAGTGAGGGTTGTCACGTAAACAGAACGTGGCAAATTAGTCACTAGTACAGCACTAGTGTGTAGTGTATAGTGTAGTGTATCGTGTAGTGTATCGTGTAGCAGTGTATAGTGTATAGTAGTGTATAGTGTAGTGTAAAGTCGTGTACAGTGTAGTGTATAGTAGTGTATAGTGTAGTATATAGTGTAGTGTATAGTAGTGTAGTGTATAGTAGTGTAGTGTATAGTAGTGTAGTGTATAGTAGTGTAGTGTATAGTGTAAGTGTATAGTAGTGTATAGTGTAGTGTATCGTGTAGCAGTGTATAGTGTAAGTGTATAGTAGTGTATAGTGTAGTGTATCGTGTAGCAGTGTATAGTGTAAGTGTATAGTAGTGATTCGTGTAGTTTATAGTAGTGTATAGTGTAGTGTATAGTGTCGTATATTAGTACAACACACCGGTGTGTTGGAGAGCCAAGCCACAACATCTACAATCTTGCGTCATGGAACACAAACGCTGGACATTGATTGAAAAACAGCAATTCTGTCTGTAACACTGGTCAACAACAATAAAAAATCAACTGGCCTGGACTTTTGCAGCTGTTTCAGACTAATTTCAGGGTGCTGATTCCAAATCTGATCTCAGATTTGCTCTATCACATCTCATTTCTCTGCTATCGGCATACCCCATTTTCATTGATTTTACCCGAAATTAACTCTGTCACTTATGATTGCAAGTTGTTGCGAGTCAGTGACTGCTTTAGTGTTAAAATAGGGTGCTGTATTTTTAGGTTAGTGTGTTTATAATATCATTTTATGTAGATATCCACATTTATTTAATATTTTTCTTCCGCATTTTTTATTGAAAATGCAATATTTGATATCTCAAAAACCTGACGTGATAAACAAAAACTGAATCCAGATTTGGAATCGGCACCCCAAAATTCCCTTGAAACCGTTGTAATACCTCATGCCAGACAAAGCGTGTTGACCAGTGTTATCAGAGGGTCTCATTCATCGCCGTTCACACCCCCCCTCGGTAGCGATGGGAGTTAAGCGTGTCCACGATCAGGACATCAACATGTCACAATGTTCATGATCGTCAGCAATCATCTACCTCCCCACGTCATCACCGTCCCTCATAATCCTGGATGTCATTCCATTGAAACGCCGCCCATTCCATCGCCACACTCATCCCTTGGCTACCACCCATTCTTGCAAGATGTCCTGCCCAAGATCAATTTTTAAATCCTTTATATTAAGTTCGCTTGCTTGCTTGCTTAGGACCGTGCAAATCTTTCGGTCGTTTTTTAACCCACTTCCCGTGATCCAATCGAGCTGACATTTTGCACACAGACTCGTTGTGCGTGACAATTAATGTTCGTGAAAATTATTTTTTCCAAATTTTTACACTTTTTAAAGAAAAAAAATTCATATTTAATTTAAAATACCAATGTGATAAAAATGAAACTCTTACTCAAGAAAAACAGAAATGAATAATAAAATAAAACCGATGCCACGCATATAAAGGATTTAGTGAAAAACTTTGTTTTTACGGGTTAATTTTTTTAATCCTTTATATTAAGTTCGCTTGCTTGCTTAGGACCGTGCAAATCTTTCGGTCGTTTTTTAACCCACTTCCCGTGATCCAATCGAGCTGACATTTTGCACACAGACTCGTTGTGCGAGACAATTAATGTTTGTGAAATTTTTTTTCCAAAATTTTACACTTTTTAGGAAAAAATATTATATTTAATTACCAATTGCTTAATGCTGCCATGCAATCATCTGACCCATAGGTGGCAGCCATCCCAAGCCAGAGGACGAGAGGACTCGAGCCGCCACGCATATAAAGGATTTATAGTGAAAAACTTTGTTTTTACGGGTTATACTTGTTATGAATGAAATCTGACGTTTATTCTCGGTGTTTGTTCCCTGATTTGGAATCAGCGCCCCGAAATTGACTTAAAACCGTTGTGCAGTGATCCCTCATTGATCGCGGTTAATGGGGACCGGAACCCCTCGCGATAGGTGACAATCCACGAAGTAGGATTGGCCCCCTAGGAATTTCCGTATATGTGTGTGTGGGTACCAGAATGTTTAAAATATGTATATTTATACTTTATATATTTTACTTAAATATATTTAATTATAAAACCTTAATATTATACATTCACTCTCTCTCTCATACGATACGTATTATGGTGTTCTACACTCACCAATGACAGTAGTATCTTGAGACTTGACTCCAGTAATGACGACGACGACAATGACAATGACGATGACGACGATGACAGACCTGTGCAGTTCGATGAATGTGATGATGAATGATGATGATGATGGTGTTACTGCACAGGTATAATAATGAGGCCTTTAAATCAGTTAGAAAAATCCGCGATGCACTGAGGCCGCGAAACTTGAACCGCGAAGTGGCGAGGGATCACTGTAATACCTTATGCCAGACAAAGTGTGTTGACCAGTGTGATTAACAGAGGCGCACGGTGACCGCAGATGCCATAGAGGCCCTTCCCTCGGCATCCACAAACGCACCTGCAGGGACCAGAGAGCTCTCTCAGCGGCCTCCTTGTCCGTGTAGTTGACAAACGCACACTTCCTGTCCACCAGTATTCGGATGCTGTGGATCTGTCCAAATCTGTACAAGTGACAAATCGATCGGGGCGATGTTGAGTTGAAGCTTTCGCGACCGCACGAATCCATTACTCTTTGGTTCTTTTGGTAAAGAATATGTATTGTGAATGCAGTCAATATTAGATGTTTGGAATAGTAACACACCGTATAGCCGCAAATACATACTTACGGGTGAAACAGCTTTTGAAGCATTTTTTCAGTAACAGCAGAAGTGATATTTCCCACCCATAAAGAGACATGCTTATACCTGAGAATAAAATAAAATACAAAATTTAAACTGCAGACGGACTAATAAAATGGTAAAGAGTCGTTAGATAACATAGCCAGCATGCTCACAAGTGCTTAATTTTCATTTTTTATATGCAAAAAATTAACCCGTAAAAACAAAGTTTTTCACTATAAATCCTTTATATGCGTGGCGGCTAGAGTCCTCTCATCCTCTGGCTTGAGATGGCTGCCACCTATGGGTCAGATGATTGCCTGCCACCATTAAGCAATTGGTAATTAAATATAAAAAAAATTCCCTAAAAAGTGGAAAATTTTGGAAAAATTTTTTCACGAAAATAAATTGTCACGCACAACGAGTCTGTGTGCAAAATGTCAGCCCGATTGGATCATGGGAAGTGGGTTAAAAAACGACCGAAATATTTGCACGGTCGTAAGCGCGCAAGCAAGCAAGCAAGTGAACTTAATATAAAGGATGATTTAAAAATGCCACCTTTGTACTATGGATCTTAACATTTGGAAAGTATCTCAATTGCACGCATATTAATAGTAGGGTTTTTCCCCTTTTTTTCTGGCAACAAAACTGAAACCTTTCTACGAGGATTCATGTCTGCATTAACCACAATACTTGCAGTCAAAATGCAAACAAAAACACACTATGACAATATATTGGCATTGTACTTGAAGCTGATTGGTCCACATCAAAATATTTTTTTAGTTTTGTTGCCTGAAAAAAGGTGAAAAATCCTATTATTATATTTTCGTACTGGCAAAGAAGGTCTAATGATGCACGCATATTGTGTTGCAAGTCTACCAGTAACATTATCAAGCAAAACCATGACATTACGCTACGGATTCAAGTGTCACAGCGATGGTGCGTTACTCACGAAGGTGGTGGAGGCACTGGAGAATTGCCCAAAGCACCACGTGAGTCTTGGCTCCTCTGTGCGGCGACATCTACAGCTTGTGTACATGCACAACGTGGTGCGGGCAACACACAAATAGGATGGCGTTTTAGATAAAGGATCCACGTAGTTGAACACGCCGGCTCTCGCGACCAATATCCTGCATAATAAAGGTTTTCTTTGGGTTAGATCGCATTCATATAAATGTGCCGTAAAACCAGACACCACCGGCCATTTAGTTAGGTTTGTCACTGTTCGTGGCGACTCGTTACTTGTACAGCACACAGGAAACCTGATGATGCGAGTGAGATGGTTCGATCGAGGCGCACACACTGAGCTGGAAAGACAGCTCTATTTATTTCTGAACAGAACGGTAACACGTTCACATGACACGTAGGGAGGTGACCACCAACCTAAGCTCACTCTACACTCGCTCATTCTCTCTGACAACACTGGCGTGTAGTGAAAGGTTTTTAGCCTTTCAACTGGTACAAAATCTGACACCTTTATACAAGGCATCATGTTTGCAATAACCACAACACAAGCAGTCAAAATGCAAACAACTCTGATGATGATGTGCACTGTCCTTGAAGTTGATTGGTCCACACCCAAGACGGCTTTCTTTAGAGCCTAGTCTCCATTGGTGTTGGACCAGATGACGCCAAAAGGCGCACAACTCAAAAACAGCGCACTATCAGAGTATTGAAAGCTTGGGGTAAGCATTTACACTATGAGACATCTCCTTTACCAGTGGCAAAATATAGTAGTAGATTTTTACCCTTTTAACTGGTACAAAATCTGACACCTTTATACAAGGCATCATGTTTGCAATAACCTCAACACAAGAAGTCAAAATGCAATTAAAAAGAAACAACTCTGATAATGATATGCACTGTCCTTGAAGTTGATTGGTCCACACCCGAGACAGCTTTTCTTAGAGCCTAGTCTCAATTGGTGTTGGACCAGACACCAATTTCTATAAATGTACCACAAAAAAAACTATTTATTTTTAAAGAATGAAATGCACATTCCATCTTATTACCAGTGCAATTCGTTTGGGAATTTCAATGCAAGTTCATGGGTAATAAGTTAGCAATTCCGAACGCATTTGTCCATTTGCATGTTTCCATACAAACATTTCTAGTGTAAGAGGCTCATTTATTGAAATGGATGTACAGCTTTCTAACACGATACGCACAATTATAAAAAACATTTCCTTCGACGTATATATTAGTTATACACAAGTTTACTTACTAGGCTGAGGACTTGGTGGTTTATCATTCTGTATCCCCACGTTGCCCACACCGGATGTTGACAAGGAACCTGAAACAGGAGTAGAAATCAGATACAGGATCAGTGTTCTCATTCCCAGAAGATTCACATTCTTTTGATAATCTCGAGAATAAACACCAGTTGCTTTACCGTTCCAAAATGGTGACAAACGTCGGTTTACTACCACCAAGTACAGCAAAGCAAGAACACATGTTTCATCCAGGCAGTAAGCAGAGGTCGCAACCGGGTACCCGATACCCGTACCCTACCCGAAACCCGGCTACCCGTACCCGGCCGGGTACGGGTAGCCGTTTGTGACCCTGGTGCGGCCGGGTACGGGTACGGGTAAGGAATCAAAACCCATTTGCGACCTCTGGCAGTAAGAATACATGTTCTATCCAGGCAAGTAAGAATACACGTTTTTTTATCCAAGAAAATAAAACAAGTTTCATCCAGGAAAGCTTGGCCGAGTTAATAAACTTGTTGTTTTACAAAGGCGATACATTGGGGAAGCACGTGTTTTAAACACGTGCTAAGTGAATTGGGAGTATCTGTGAAAAGGAGGTCAACGTGAGGCGAGATCACACCAAAGTGAACACAAGTTCGTGAAACAAAAACATTCCTATACAGCTCATCGTCACACTCACCGAGTTGGGGAGATTGCCCATAACGTGCTGGGTATAACCAGATTGTGTTGCTTTAACATGTTGTAGCATTATATTCTTGGCTCTTTCGGTGAAGTCACGTAGAAGGGAAATAATAAAATATAAAACAATAAAACAAAGATGGACTCGTTCATCTGGCAAACTGCCAAATCGCTGTCTATGGTGCTGACGTTAAGAAAAATCGCCACTTTTTTCAAATTTTCTTGCTGTGGATTTCACAACTGATGGTGATTGCCTGTGTTGCAGTCGAAACGTCGTGAGAATATTTATTTTCTTGGTTCTTTCGGTAAAGTCATCACGTAGAAGGGAAGTAATAAAATAATAAAAATAAAACACAATAAAATAATTCTCACGACGTTTCGGCCACAACGCAAGCAGCCGTCCTCAGGTGAAGAACAGGTCTGTCGAGTAGACAGAGTCTGAAGTCTACTTGACAGACCTGTTCTCCACCTGAAGACGGCTGCTTGCGTTGTGGCCGAAACGTCGTGAGAATTATTTTATTAGTTTTATTTTTATTTTTTTATTACTTCCCTTCTACGTGATGACTTTACCGAAAGAACCAAGAAGATGAATCCCTGCAGTCACGAAAGCTTTAAATCGAAATGTATGATTTAGCATTGCATTACTTTTGAACGGTGTATTGGTTTAAATTTCTCGATTAGTGTATCAAATAGTGTCTACAACTAAAATACATTACACATTTGTGATTTAACACAATGGAATAAAAAAGGAACATTCGTTACAGTCAGCGATGCTTGCATGTAATTAGAGCAAACCGCAATCAGTGACAGTCAGCTGATTGGTGAGTACTTAAGTTCCGAGTTTGTGAATTGACGAGTGTTATGGCTGCTGCTAAAATCGATACTAACCTTTAAATACTCTTTGGTTCTTTCGGTAAAGTCACGTAGGTGAAAAAAAGAATAAAATTAAGATGTAAAATTAAAATAACTAAAGTTTAGTTATTTTAATTTTAAAGATGAAAATAACTAAAATTGAGTTAATTTCATTTGTATTTTAAATTTTATCATTATTTTTATTTTCTACCTACGTGACTTTTCCGAAAGAACCAAAGAGTATGGATCCTTGCAGTCACGAAAACTTCCAATCTAGAATCAAACTTTAAATGTTATCAGGTAAGGCCACTAAGCTAAACATCTCTTTTTCAGATGACAACTGGCCACAAATGAAGCTCAATGAAGTGACTTGTGGAAATTTATAGCAAATACTCTAAACACGCATGCTTCTAAATGTGAAGGGGAAAACCATGGACAGAGCACGCAAGCTCCCAATACACAGCAGCAGGCGTCAGGGTTGGGATGGAACCCACGACCTCCTGTATGCCAGGCGAGGTAGTTAACATCTCACAGAACCCACGACCTCCTGTATACCAGGCGAGGTAGTTAACATCTCACAGAACCCACGACCTCCTGTATACCAGGCGAGGTAGTTAACATCTCACAGAACCCACGACCTCCTGTATGCCAGGCGAGGTAGTTAACATCTCACAGAACCCACGACCTCCTGTATACCAGGCGAGCTAGTTAACATCTCACAGAACCCAGGACCTCCTGTATGCCAGGCGAGGTAGTTAACATCTCACAGAACCCACGACCTCCTGTATACCAGGCAAGGTAGTTAACATCTCACAGAACCCACGACCTCCTGTATACCAGGCGAGCTAGTTAACATCTCACAGAACCCACGACCTCCTGTATACCAGGCGAGGTAGTTAACATCTCACAGAACCCACGACCTCCTGTATACCAGGCGAGGTAGTTAACATCTTGCTACCACCGTGGCGAGATCGCTGTGCAGAGCTGTAGTATCCATCCACATCAAGCATCCACGCTAAGCAAAGCTCATCGTAGGGATTAGGACAATTATGGCAACAAACACGGCATTTCAAAAATACAAGCTTTGCAATAAGCACCTGTGTTTCGAAGCAGTGCTTCTGAAGCGGCGTACACCGTGTCGTACTCCAAGATTGCAGCCTCCGACTGCTGCTGTGGAAAGCCCATCTCCTACAAAAGCGCAGAGAAACATCGGCAAACCAGATGTGTATTCTAGGTAAAATAATAATAAAATAATATTAGTATTAAACAATATTATATTAAACAATAAAACAATATTATTTTATTATTTCCCTTCTACGTGACTTTACCGAAACAACCAACAATATGAATCCCTGCAGTCACGAAAGCTTTAAATCTAACCGGTTTTCACATACGACGGTGCTAACTTATTAATTCCACGCATGCGAGATGGCAATTGGCACTCTGCAAGCGATCATGAATTTGGCACGAGGCCAAAATGTCCATTTCGCTCAAGGTCAAAGGGCAACATTACCATTTATCAGAGGTCGCAACCGGGTACCCGATACCCGTATCGGGTAGGGTACGGGTACGGGTAGCCGTTTGCGACCCTGGTGCGGCCGGGTACGGGTAGGCCGTGAGTCACTGGTGAGTCACCGTTCGTCACTCATTTCGGGTAGGGTACGGGTACGGGTAGGGAACGGGTACCCATTTGCGACCCTGGTGCGGCCGGGTACGGGTATGGGTAAGGAATCAAAACCCGTTAGCGACCTCTGCCATATATACATTCTCATTAAAGTTCCGCACGACTTTATCAGCTGTGAAAATCACTTTACATGAATACACACACGAGCTGTACTACCTGGCTTCACCCAGTGGCGATGTTCACACACCGCACCAGTTACTCGTTTGAGGCTGAGTCGACCTAGGGGAGGCCCAGGAGCGGTTGAAATAATCGTCACCGGCGGTGGCCGTGAGCGGGAATCGAACTCGGGACGCCGCGTTCATAGCGTGGCACGCTAACCACTACACTACATTGCGTTACGCTTCCACATGCGCGGGTCACGTGACAGATTTTACGTCACAGCTCACTTGCCGTGCAAAAAATAAATGCATTATTGAGCTCCCCCCCCCAAAAAAAGTGTATTTTTATAATGCCTGCATGGTGTACAGTCTGGAAAGTAGCCACATGGCAAATTTCCAGTTTGTTGCATGTCGGGAAGTACGCTAAACATTTTGAACAAACACACACAATCACAACTTTGCCTTTGATATAGATGGAGATTACGTTTGCACTCAATTACCTTGTGAAAAATTGTCCGAAGTCATTTGCTTATGCCTCAACTTAAAGACACTCCAATATGCACACACAATGTATGACACTGGTGCACCGGCTTACCACAAGGAGAAGTGTTCGCACTTTCCTAAGCTCTTGTTTTGCTTCTTCAGAAGACACATTTAAAGAAATCAGCTGACATAACGCACTTTCTGCCTCTCTGTAACGCTGTCAAATTAACAAACACAACACGTGTTTAGTCAGAAACTTACATGCGCAATGGAAGGTCAGTAGGCATGTAACAATTAAATAAATGCATGCATACAACAATTGATGGACTTATTTGAATGCACACAGTACAAGACAGAACATGAGAAAATCCAAAGGAGAAATAAAGTAATTTTATCCTTGAATTGAATTGCAACACCTGTTCCTGACGATTCATATAATGGTGGGGGGGGGGTGAGTAACTCCACGACTTACTGAGCAATTGAAACGGACAATTTGAACAAAGCCAAATACTCCACAGGCTGTTTTTCTTCTGCAGGGTCGAGAGAAAGTGTGAACCCCTTCGGATTTTCACATCTTTTACATATTTCAAACCTAAAATGTTATTAGATCTTAATCTAAGTCCTAATAATAACAACGATAACACGATTAAACAAATGAAACATAAAACGTGATATTTGTTTTCGATTTAAAGCTTTCGTGACTGCAGGGATTCCTCTTCTTGGTTCTTTCGGTAAAGTCACGTAGAAGGGAAGTAATAAAATAATAAAAATAAAACATAATAAAATAATTCTCACGACGTTTCGGCCACAACGCAAGCATTTTAAGTTAAATATGAAAAAAAAAATTTCCTACAAAGTGTAAAGTTATGGAAAATTTTTTCACGAAAATAAATTGTCACGCACAACGAGTCTGTGTGCAAAATATCAGCTTGATTGGATCACGGGAAGTGGGTTAAAAAACGACCGAAAGATTTGCACGGTCGTAAGCGCGCAAGCAAGCAAGCGAACTTAATATAAAGGATTTTAAAATAAATATTAACTTGATAAACGAGCGACGTCTTGCAATACGAGCAGTACATATAGTATACGCTTTGTCACGTGATCACGACTGATAAACAACGAGTGCTTTGATATACGAGTGCTTTGGATTACAAACGATTTATGCTCGCAATCCAAGGTTTTACTGTAATTAGTCCTTTATCTTTAAAAAAACCAGTCAACGGTGTAATGCAAATTGCACGTGAACTGTCAAAGATTGCAAACACAGCAGCCTTACCTTCAGTCCAATGCAAGCCCGCGCTTGTCTGAAGTATCCCCGGGGCCATGTTGGGTTTAGATATATAGCGATCTCCGCATCGAACAAGGCATCAGTGTACAATCCAAGATGTTCCAAACAAAATGACCGATTTCCATAAAATCTGGTGAATAATGACACAGATGAGAAATCAAATCCAATTGACAGACCATCTTTAGAATTCGATTGCTCCGAATTGAACTAGGCCATGTGGATAAGACACTCTTGAAATCACACTGAACGTTGACGGAAAAAATGTCTGCGTCTGATTGGAAACATGTAGGTAACAGATCAACACGTTAAAAAATTAACCCGTAAAAACAAAGTTTTTCACTATAAATCCTTTATACGCGTGGCATCGGTTTTATTTTATTATTCATTTCTGTTATTCTTGAGTAAGAGTTCCATTTTTATCACATTGCTATTTTAAATTAAATATGAAATTTTTTTTTCCTAAAAAGTAGCAAATTTTGGAAAAAAAATTTTCACGAAAATAAATTGTCACGCACAACGAGTCTGTGTGCAAAATGTCAGCTCGATTGGCTCACGGGAAGTGGGTTAAAAAACGACCGAAAAATGTGCACGGTCGTAAGCGCGCAAGCAAGCAAGCGAGTGAACTTAATATAAAGGATTTAAAAATGTCTGCATCTGATTGGAAACATGTAGGTAACAGATCAACACGTTAAAAAGTTACACGTTGACAAGGTTGTTATCCGTCTTTGTGGAAGAGGTACGCAGATGACACATTCGTCATCTGGCCACATGGCCTACCAGCTCTGAACCAATTCCTCAACCACATTAATTACATACACCCAGCCATCACATTCACCATTGAGGTGGAAAAGTATGGCAAGTTACCATTCTTGGATGTATATTCTTAGGTTTTTTACCTACGTGACTTTACCGAAAAAACATAAGAATATGAATCCTTGCAGTCACGAAAGCTTCAAATCTAGAATTCTTGGATGTTTTAATCGAAAAGAGAACTGATGGCTCAATGGGACACCCTGTCTACAGCAAAGCCGCCCATACGGATGCTTATCTAAAACCTGACTCCCACCACCATCCATCCCAAAAGAATTCCCTTATCAAAACGCTACACCATAGAGCTCCATGTATCTCCGACCATCATCACCGAGCCAGTGAACTTTATCACGTACACCAAGCTCTCAAGCTGAATGAATATTCGGACCACACAATCCGTAAAGCGTTCACCCCAAACGTTGGGAAAGAACCATCAAAACCATCACCTTGCCATACATAGCAGGGGTCACCAAAATATTTCCTAAATCTTGAGCAAACACAAGATCCAGGCTCCATTTAACTCTACGTCAAATTCGTAATCTGATCCCATCTGTGAAGGATATGCAGTAATTCTAGATTTGAAGCTTTCGTGACTGCAAGGATTCATATTCTTAGGTTTTTTCGGTAAAGTCACCATGTAGGTAAAAACATTAAAATTAATAAAATTAAAATAAAATAAAAATCACGACGTTTCGGAGGCAACACATCTACTTGATACAGCTGTCGTGGCTGTGACGGTTCCACCTGAAGACGGAAGCTTGTGTTGCCTCCGAAACGTCGTGATTTTTATTTTATTTTACTTTTATTAATTTTAATGTTTTTACCTACCTGGTGACTTTACCGAAAAAACCTAAGAATATGGATATGCAGTACCCTGGCGTCTCGGACCGTGTCCGTGAGCATGAGGCGGATCTGAAACACGGCAGGACCAACGCGTCGGCCGTGGCTGATCATTGTTTCAATGCGGTGGGCTCACACGATTTCTCTAAGATGAAGGTACTTTGTACGCGCACTGGCTATCAACAAAGATTTGTTCATGAAGCCATCCATATATACAGACACAGTTTCAACCGAGAGGATGGGTACAAACTCGGCAATCATTGGAAAGACGTCATCAAGCAGTTTAAGTCGTAACTCGCTGTGATGTTCCCATCCTGCCAACTTTATCACGCAACATTTTGCCTTTAGAATGCATTATGCCTGTCACACACACACACGACGTTGAACTGCCAAGCTACTTTCCATCAACTCAAATTGGCTGTATAGAAGTGTTTAATGCTCATGGAATGTTAATATTAGTATTCAAATTTTGCTTTAAAAATTGTCAAGTTACACTATGAGATTCATAATCAACGTTGTTGGGTTTAGATGGCGTTATTTATAAATGTGTCGTAACCCTCCACCACCCGACACGGCCAATCAGCAAAAAAGTGTCACGTTGACAAAAGACAAATAGTTCACTGCTTTAGCCCACCGGTGTGTTGAAGCATGAAGCCACAACATTTACAAGTTTTGAGTAGCACGACGTTTCGCTGGTAATTGCATCCAGCATCATCGGGCAATTCGCCAGAATGGTGAGGCTCTGCTGTGTCTCCCGTTCTTATATAGAGCAGCAGCAGCAGGATGACGTCATCATTAACTCATCAACTCATTGATTATGAATATTGGTCGCGAAAGCCTACGTGTTAAACTACACTACGGGAGTTGACTTACCGATGATCTCGCGGACATAAGCTAATTGCTTCGGTAAACTTGTCAATGGCTTCTGCATAACTCTGTGTTCTGACCAAGCGATTACCTTGTACTGTTTTGGAACAAGAAGAAGTTGCAAGTTAACATTTGTAGGCCATAAGTAGTACTAATCACATACCTGCATTTCCCTTATCCCCCTCCCTTTGATGCTGCTAATCCTGCATAATGCACGGGCATAAGTAGCACTAATCACATACCTGCATTTCCCATATCCCCTCCCTTTGATGCTGCTAATCCTGCATAATGCACGGGCATAAGTAGTACTAATCACATACCTGCATTTCCCATAAATATGCTAAATTCCTCTTGATATGCAAATTCTTTTTTCAAGGCGCCCCCTTTCTTCCCCCCTTCCAACCCAGCTTATATACACGCTCCAAGCTCGTGTGCTGTTTCATTCAGACGCTGTCGCCTCGACAGACCTGGTTTTCACCTGAGGACGGCTACTTGCGTTGTGGCTGAAATGTCGTGAGAATAATTTTATTATTATTATTTTATTACTTCCCTTCTACGTGACTTTACCGAAAGAAGCAAGAAGATTTGTAGGTCACTTGGCAAAATCAAAAATGAATTGTGGATCACACGATCTGCGTGCTATGGACACAATAAACGCAATGTAACCCTTTCCCGTGACGGTATGTCTCTCGCCCTGAAGACTTAACGAGGCACCTGGCACATGGTTTGGCACCGTCCATCATAGTGCGGTCGTGTCGCGGCGAGGATAATGCCTTTCAAAAGAACGGCGCTACGCCTCTCTAAATAACATTAATGCGAGCCACTTGCAACTTGCACATGTCTCTATTATTTTATTTGTTCCCTTCTACGTGACTTTACCGAAAGAACCAAGAATATAGATCAACCTTGATAATTGGTTTGATACCCTTCTATCTGGCAACAAAACTGACACCTTTTTTTACAAGGAGTCGTGTTTGCATAGACCACAATACCTGCAGTCGTAATGCAAACAAAAAACACAACTCTGATAATGTACGCACTGTCCTTGAAGTTGATTGGTCCACACCCGAGACAGCTTTCCTTAGAGCCTAGTCTCACATGGGTTGGACCAGATGACGCCAAAAGGCTCTAAGGAAAGCTGTCTCGGGTGTGGACCAATCAACTTCAAGGACAGTGCATACATTATCAGAGTTATGTTTTGTGTTTGCATTATGACTGCAGGCATTGTGGTCTATGCAAACATGACTCCTTGTAAAAAAAAGAGTGTCAGTTTTGTTGCCAGATAGAAGGGTAAAGAACCAATTATCATATTTTTTACTGGCAAATGAGGTTCCAATGGTGTAGATGAACCTTACTTGCAATCTTTATGCTGCGTCGAGCAAACGTGTCAGGACGTGGTTCCTGGGGTCCAGCGCTGGCGGGAGCCTACGGGGAGAGCAAGCGGTGCAGTTAGTGCAGCTCGCTCAGGATGACAACAACAGACGAAGTTGCATTACGCACGAGATTAGATTAAGAAGCACACGTCATTGACAGAAAGAGCGAGTGGGAAAACAACACCGACCAAATAATACGCAGTGTAATCGTGGGACGGACAGACATTTCTGGGTGATTATAGTCGGTAATTTGCTCGTTTGAAAAGCCGCTTGTCGACATTGATCAATAACGTGAAGAGGACAACGGAGGCTTTGAAGTTGTGAACCTGATCTCATTCTTATACGACCTTGTAGACATATTTGTGTTGGTCACTCATGGTGACGTCACTCCACATGGCCCCGCCCCCACGTGACGTCACTCCACATGGACACCCCCTCCGCCCCCATTCACGATAATTAGCGGCTAGCGCCACATCAACTCCATTGGGCTGTAACGGCGTTAAACAAACGCACCTCTCCGTCGTCGTCTTCCGGCTTCTCGTGCCGCTCTTTCCTTCCTCTCTCTTGCCGCTTTCTCTCCCTCCGCCTCTGCGGACAGTCGACAAGTTTTTACGTGAAAAAAATAACGGCGCCCGTTTATGTAAACAGGTCCCTGCGGGGTGGGCTGGTAGGAGCGAACAAATGAATGTCCATAATAACATGAAATGGCGGGGGTACGATACGAAGGGAGAGTTTGAGGCCTAGTTCTAGGCTTTAGGCCTTGCTGTAGGCTTTAGGCCGCTGTGAGTTAATTTTTAATTTAAATGTTTTAATTAAAAACTATCTCAGGGAATTATAAGGGAATGTTACACTTGTTTAGCCAGGAAAGCCCCACTGAGTCTAAAGGTTTTTGTAGGGTCCTGCCAAGTGTTTGCAGTAGGGGGCGATGTTGCTACACCTAATCGGACATCGGACGGACGGACGATATAATCTATTGTAGGCTGGTTCACTTCGTTCCTACCAGTATTATTGTAGATAGAAGGCAAGGCCGGCTTCAAATACTTGCGTGTTAATTACAGATAAATATTATATTATAAACAGTAAAGCTTCAAAAACAAAAAAGCATCGACACTTAAGTAAATGCATTACGCATTTATATTTCCAAACAATTATGTAGAAAAAAAATATCCTACGTGAATAACATTCTTTAATACAAACTTAATTTGTAGCTTTCGTGACTGCGGGAATTATTCTTTGGTTGTTTCGGTAAAGTCACGTATAAGGCCTCGACACAGAGGCGTAGTTTCTCTGTGTGCCTATGTTAGCTCTCTCTCTCTATGTATCTCTGTGATATCTGTCTGCTTATATGTCTGTCTGTGTGTCTATGTTGTGTGTCTCTGTGTGTGTCTCTGTGTGTCTCTCTCTATGTATCTCTGTGATATCTGTCTGCTTATATGTCTGTCTGTGTGTCTATGTTGTGTCTCTCTCTGTGTGTATCTCTGTGTGTCTCTGTGTTGTCTCTCTCTATGTATCTCTGTGATGTCTGTCTCTGCTTATATGTCTGTCTATATGTCTCTGGTTCTGTGTTTTATCTCTCTCTCAAATTTAGCATTCTCAGGAAGAACGTAATCAACCAGGTGGGGTGTTGACTGTTATGTTATTCGACTCTCTGTTGTATTACATTACATTTCTAAGTAGACTAGATTTGTGTTTCTATTTCATTTATACCTGATGACGATTGCTTGTGTTGCAATCGAAAAGTCGTATGCAATTATTAAATGTATTATTTTATCTTTATACGTGACTTTACCGAAAGAACCAAAGAGTCCTTCTGTGTTGTTATTTACTCAGATGGTGAACGACATTTACTGCAAGGGAATTGACTCTGTCCGTAACACAATTGTATTTCAGGTGGAGTTATTTGCAGAGAATGTTTTCTGTATTCATTGGTTTTATCTGGTTTGACAATTCGTTTTAAACATGAGACCCGAATGTAACCAGGAGGTACGCATAACTTCAGATGCAAAGCAAAAACACTTGACCGCACCTTTGAAAACAAATCTTCCAATGATATAAACATGCTTTACATTGCATAAAGGACACCTAAGGATATATGGTTCATGATAAATCTGCAAAACAAACCTTCTGTTTAGTCTCAGTCTTCGTTTTTGCATTTTCCTCTTCCTGTAAAAGATCTGCTGCATTATGATTTGCTTCCTGTAAGTAAACACCAGACAATTTGAACAATCATCATAGCAATGACATAGCTACACATTGTTACCGTGTTGAAATGGTTTTACACAAAAGCAAGGTTTAGCTGAAAATCACTTAAGAGGGCTTCATGTTGTGAAGTTTCTCCATTGCAGGCTATGAACTAAGAAAATATTATTCATGCACTACCCACCCCCCCCCCCCCCCCCCCCGTTAGTTAGTTTCAAGACAAATTCATTATAGCACACGTCCAAATAAAAACCATAAATATGGCAACGTTAGCTACGTACCTCGACTGACTCTACGTCAGAGGTCGCAACCGGGTACCCGATACCCGTACCCTACCTGATACCCGTACCCTACCCAATACCCGGCTACCCGTACCCGACTGGACTGGGTACGGGTACGAGTACCCGTTTGCGACCCTGGTGCGGCCGGGTACGGGTACGGGTAGGCCGTGAGTCACTGGTGAGTAACTGTGTGTCGCTCATTTCCCAACGTCTTGTCTCTTCTCACAATTCAAGTGCCTAGAATCAACCCACCCGCGCCTGCAACGTGGCTTCATCCCAGAGGTCGCAATCAGGTACCCGATACTTGTACCCTACCCGTACCCGGCCGGGTACGGGTAGGGTACCCGTTTGCGACCCTGGTGCGGCCGGGTACGGGTAAGGAATCAAAACCCATTTGCAACCTCTGCTCTACGTACCGTGTGAGCTGTGGAGGTGTTACTGCTGCTGGCTTGCGTGCCATGGCAGGGTTCACGGCTGCTCTGGCAGGGATAGGCGCTGGGTTCGTGAGAACCCCCGCTTGGGTTCAACAGGTCATCCACATTGCCGTCATCCGAGATGCAAAACTTGTCTCGATCTCCATTGGAGAATACTGTCAAGGGTGGGATTGGCGGTGGTGAAATGTTCAAAGTTCAGTTGAAATTAATACAGCATGCGGTGTACAGGCACACGTACGCCAGCCCGTTGAGATTCGCATGTAATTCATGTAAAGTATCCTGCCTATGAGCTACAAGGCATTACATTCCCAAGACTTAATTCTATGGGAATTCAAATGTTCAAACTGAAAAATGTTTGGTCATTGGCTGTTGGTGACAAGGTCCACAAACAGCAAACATGAATTTAAATGACGTACACTGGAAAGCATTTCCACAAAGCATTTCTACAAACTTCCAGCAAATCTCATGCATCTTAAGACTTCAAATGCCTCCTGTGTGAATGTGACTCAAACACAAACACATTCTTATTCACAAAGAAACCACAAGCGTTTGTCAACTTTAATATCTTTTTTACAATGATGTTTTTTTTACTTGTGCAGCCCACTGTCAATGGATTCCCTTGATTGTTTTTGTATTCAGGCAATCTCCCACTGCACGAACATAATTACTTTTAAAACAAATACAGGTGGTAACAAACAACAAAACATAGTCTATTCCAAATATCCAAATACATAAAGTTCGATTTAAAGCTTTCGTTACTGCAGGGATTCATATTTCTTGGTTATTTCGGTAAAGTCACGTAGAAGGGAAACCATCAAATAATAAAAAAAAAACATAATAAAATAATTCTCACGACGTTTCGGCCACAACACAAGTAGCCGTCCTCAGGTGAAGACAGGTCTGTCGAGGCAACAGCGTCTAAAAGAAAAAAAAAAACGAAAAAAAAAACGCTGAATGCCTCGACAGACCTGTCTTCACCTGAGGACGGCTGCTTGCGTTGTGGCCGAAACGTCGTGAGAATTATTTTATTATGTTTTATTTTTATTATTTTGTTACTTCCCTTCTACGTGACTTTACCGCAAGAACCAAGAAGACAAGTAATCATCATCAGGTGTGAAATCCACAGCAAGAAAATTAGAAAAAAGTGTCGGTTTTTCCCAACGTCAGCACCACGGATAGCGATTTCCCTTCTACATGACTTCACCGAAATAACCAAGAATATCCAAATACATAGTTTAGTAATTTAGAAGAATACTATAGTTTTATAATAAAATGTATACATCAGCATGTATTGTTCTTACATTTTTAAGGAGTAAGAAAGTTAATTTGGCCCTTGGCACAGAACTTGAATCGTGTGGCAAATAGATTTTGACCCGAGGTCTTTCTGGATCGATTATTCAAAATGTGCTTCGCATGTAGGGTCATTAGATTATTAAGAGAAAAACATAATAATCATTGAGCTGGTAGTGTACACGATTCTTTGTTTGTTTGTTCACTCACCAAAACGCTGACGATGAAATGGGAATCCACCCATAGCTCCAAAAAACATCACGTTCAATAAATCCAGTATGTCCTCCTGAAGAAGGTACATCATACAACGAGACGCTAACATTGACTGATCAACCACAACACGTTTTAAAAACAAATCTACGATATTAGAGTATAAGTGTTGCATTACACGCATTCACATTCATTTTATTGGTGGCTTACCAAGCTCATGTGAGCCTCCGTTTTCTCCGCAGCAAGGAGTTGGTATGCTCCTGTAGCTTGCTGAAATTTCTGTATCGTACAAAAGGAAATTATAGTTTTGACAGAAACGATGTGCATTATTCCACGTTGTGTTCAGCTGCAGCAACTTGTGGGATTGAACAACGTCAGTGCCTGTCAAGTGCGTCATGGGCTTGGCAGCCTGTGATTGTGACATGTGACAGCTCTCACGTAAAAGAAAACGGATTATAATTCAAAGAAAATGTTGGAGTCCTCGGCAAACTGCAAAGCTGTAGGCAGCGGTTTCCTCGGGATGATGACATCACAGCAACTGCACCAGCCAATCAGCTGCCAAGAGACCCCCATGCAGCAGCAACACGGCCGGCGTGACTCGCAGCTGTCGACTTGAGCCGGTTTGCGGTGGAGGCAAGTATATTGAGGCTCTCAATGTGATCAATATTGGCCTTGATCACTTTAGGATGTGTAGGTGTCTTTACTCCACGATTAGATTTCACTTACAAAAGTGTTTTATTTACCAAGACCAACATCGGTTTCAAGATTAATTAAGTGCTTCTGGACTTGGACCCCATGGAATAGCGATCTCTGCAAAATCAATGTTCTCTCAAGCAAACCGCCTTGTTGGTGCATTCATACGTGATGTGCTATTTGAACAACCCATTTAACACATTCCTGCTGCGGAGGGAGCTGGTAGGAACGCTGGGTTGCTCCGTCAATGGCCTGCAGGGTCAACGGCGGCGTGGTGTATTCCGCACATATACCCGACTGTGAGGGCGGGCACAAGCCGGCGTGAGTAGGTTAAACGTTGAATTTTATAAGGGAACCACGGGGTGACCAGCCCCTCCCCACCCAGCCCCACCCCTCCCACCCCCCACCCAGCCCCACCCTCCCCACCCAGCCCCTCCCCACCCAGCCCCACCCCTCCCAACCCCCACCCAGCCCCACCCTCGCCACCCAGCCCCTCCCCACCCAGCCCCCACCCAGCCCCTCCCCACCCTCTCCACCCAGCCCCACTCCTCCCACCCCACCCAGCCCCTCCCTCCCCACCCAGCCCCTCCCCACCCTCCCCTCCCTACCCAGCCCCTCCCCACCCTCCCCACCCAGCCCCTCCCTCCCCACCCAGCCCCTCCCCACCCAGCCCCCACCCAGCCCCTCCCCACCCTCTCTACCCAGCCCCACTCCTCCCACCCCACCCAGCCCCTCCCTCCCCACCCAGCCCCTCCCCACCCTCCCCTCCCTACCCAGCCCCTCCCCACCCTCCCCACCCAGCCCCTCCCTCCCCACCCAGCCCCTCCCCACCCAGCCCCTCCCTCCCTCCCCACCCAGCCCCTCCCCACCCAGCCCCTCCCTGCACGACGGACACAATAATCCCCTGTGGGCTGGTGTAACCAGGCGGTCCCTACCAGTATCAATGTACAATGCTCAAAGTGCACAAATATGACAACGATGCTGATATTTAGAACCAGTACAATGCTGTTCAATTGTATTTCACTCAGCATGAGTGAACCATCAGAAAATGTCAAATACTAGCAGCATACGTTCCATCACATTAACATCAAATATACCAAGCACTCCTTGCTACTCACAATGGCAGCAGTGTCACTGCTGTGATTATTCTTATCTGAATGACACTCCAGGGCAAACTTCTTGTATGCGGATTTAATTTCTGCTTCAGGGGCTCCTGTGCATGACAGCAAGCTTCCATTAAACACGTGGCACACAAAACACCGCTCAATTACATACATTGACAGATCCGTAAAATGACACATTTGTACATTTCCATTGGATTTTTCTTACGTTTTATTCTTTTTCAAGATCTAATCTATACAACAGCCATAAAGCTCCTTTTCAAAGACGTCCAGAATGCAACAACAAACAACACAACAACACGAGTGCAAAGCATTGTACAGGAAATGTAAACAAATCACTTTAAAAATAAATAAATATGCAAATACCAGCAAACTATGTTTTTTATCCTTTATATTAAGTTCACTTGCTTGCTTGCGCGCTTACGACCGTGCAAATCTTTCGGTAGTTTTTTTAACTCACTTCCCGTGATCCAGTCGAGCTGACATTTTGCACACAGACTCGTTGTGCGTGACAATGAATTTTCGTGAAAAATGCTTTCCAAAATTTTCCACTTTTTAGGAATTTTTATTTTTCATATTTAATTTAAAATACCAATGTGATAAAAATAAAACTCTTACTTAAGAAAAACAGAAATGAATAATAAAATAAAACCGATGCCACGCATATAAAGGATTTATAGTGAAAAACTTTGTTTGTAAATCCTTTATATTAAGTTCACTTGCTTGCTTGCGCGCTTATAACCGTGCAAATATTTCGGTCGTTTTTTAACCCACTTCCCGTGATCCAATCGAGCTGACATTTTGCACACAGACTCGTTGTGCGTGACAATTAATTTTCGTGAAATAAAATTCAAAAATGTTACACTTTTTAGGAAAAAAATATATTTAATTACCAATTACTTAATGCTGCAATGCAATCATCTGACCCATAGGTGGCAGCCATCTCAAGCCAGAGGACGAGAGGACTCTAGCCGCCACGCATATAAAGGATTTAGAGTGAAAAACGTAGTTTTTACGGGTTAATTTTTTTGTATCTTACCAGGCATAGACAAACCGAGCTGTTAGCCTCTTTGTCAGAAGCCATGTGGCCACAAATGATGGCCAACACACGTGGCGATTCAACGCAGCAAAACTATCGCAAACAACACAGAGCACACGTACACATCTGGGCAGATGGTTATTGACGTGGCGTGACGCACATTTCTATCCCGATCAATGACTCGTCTTCTTGGTGCTTTCGGTAAAGTCTCGTAGAAGGGAAATAATAAAATAATATTAATAAAACATAACAAAATACAATTCTCACGACGTTTCGGCCACAACGCAAGCAGCCGTCCTCAGGTGAAGAACAGGGCTGTCGGAAAGACAGACCTGTTCATTCAGACGCTGTCTTCCCGACAGACCTGTTCTTCACCTGACGGCTGCTTGCGTTGTGGCCGAAACGTCGTGAGAATTATTTTATTATTTTTAATTTTATTATTTTATTACTTCCCTTCTACGTGATGACTTTACCGAAAGAACCAAGAAGATGAATCCCTGCAGTCACGAAAGAAGCTTTAAATCGAACTTTAATTACTCGTTGTTGAATAGTTTGGCCCACAACACGCGCTCGCAAGCCGTGAAGCGTGCCACGTGTGGCCACAACCAGCAGAGGAACGTCTCAGAGCGCACGGATTGTCAATGTTCACTTCGTGTCACAGTAGCCGCGCTGTGTGACAACCCCTCCACTCTTTGGGGCGGTGCTGCTGCTGCTGGTGGAGGGTTCTGCGACACATTCACATTGACGCGATCTTACCCAAACAAACAAACATGGATATCGGTCGCGAAAGTCCGAGTACTGTACGTGTTGGGAGACAAAGGCGGCCGGGCGTGGTGCTGGCCACCCACCTCCTCGTGTTTCCGTGCTGGCCTTCATAGGTGCTACTCGCTACTAACAGCACTTGCCCCTGCAGTCTGTCAAGGCTACCTGGGGGACCTTTGTCTGTGTTGCTACTCGCTACTAACAGCACTTGCCCCTGCAGTCTGTCAAGGCTACCTGGGGGACCTTTGTCTGTGTTGCTACTCGCTACTAACAGCACTTGCCCCTGCAGTCTGTCAAGGCTACCTGGGGGACCTTTGTCTGTGTCCACGCGACTCACCATAGGGAAGTCCCAGCGCCGTGTAGGCCTCTTGACGGGTCAAGCTCATCTCGGATACCAACAACAACAACACAAACAACAACAACACAACAACACACCAACACCACAACAACACACCAACACAACAACAGCACAACACTCACCACCACTCACACACTCTCTACTATATATACTAGTAGTGTACAACAACACAAACAACAACACAAACAAGAACAACACTCAGCACCACCACCACTCACACACTCTCTACTATATACTAGTAGTGTACAACAACACAAACAACAACACTCACCACCACTCACACACTCTCTACTATATACTAGTAGTGTACAACAACAACACAAACAACAACACTCACCACCACTCACACACTCTCTACTATATACTAGTAGTGTACAACAACAACACAAACAACAACACTCACCACCACTCACACACTCTCTACTATATACTAGTAGTGTACAACAACACAAACAACAACACTCACCACCACTCACACACTCTCTACTATATACTAGTAGTGTACAACAACAACACAAACAACAACACTCACCACCACTCACACACTCTCTACTATATACTAGTAGTGTACAACAACAACACAAACAACAACACTCACCACCACTCACACACTCTCTACTATATACTAGTAGTGTACAACAACAACACAAACAACAACACTCACCACCACTCACACACTCTCTACTATATACTAGTAGTGTACAACAACAACACAAACAACAACACTCACCACCACTCACACACTCTCTACTATATACTAGTAGTGTACAACAACAACACAAACAACAACACTCACCACCACTCACACACTCTCTACTATATACTAGTAGTGTACAACAACAACACAAACAACAACCACCACCCTCCTCCGACACTAACCACGTGGAGCGCCGCAGGAGCAACACGTGACTCGGAGACGCCGCTCTCTGATTGGTCGCTGGCAAAAGTATCAGAGACGTCCGCTGATTGGTTCAACGCCGGCCACGCCCCTCACACCACGCGGCTTCCCATTGGCTGCTTGGCAATTAATTAAAGAAGACTTCCGGCCTATTTAATTAATTGGCCGTTTGGCAATTAATTAAACATTTAATAAATTTTCTTGGTTCTTTCGGTAAAGTCATCACGTAGAAGGAAATAATAAAATAATAAAAATAAAGCATAATAAAATACAATTCTCACGACGTGTGGCCGAAACGTCGTGAGAATTGTATTTAATTATGTTTTATTTTTATTATTTTATTACTTCCCTTCTACGTGACTTTACCGAAAGAACCAAGAAGACAGGTCATACTTTGTAGCGATCACC